CGCTACACATATAACACACACACACATGCACACATACATATACAAACATACACATTCACATATGCACATACATACAAATACCCTGTACAGACAAACGTACGTACATACACACTCTCCCCAACCCCCCGGGAAACCGCAGGCTGTCCCCAATATGTTGGAAATTGTGCCGTCTGGGATCAACAAGTGGGCGGGTGTACGGCGGTTGTTGGACCACCTGGACCTACCGCCGTCCGCCCTGATGGCGGTTGGCGACGGCGGCAACGACCTGGAGATGGTGGCGGGGGCGGGGCTGGGAGTAGCCATGGGCAACGCTGTGCCGGCGGTCCGGGCCGCTGCTGCGGCGGTGGTGGCGGGGCATAATGAGGGCGGTGTGGCGGAGGCGTTTGAGCGTTTTGTACTGCCTTGAAGTCCATTTGCGGCGGACGGTACGAAGTGGTGTTTTTGAAGTGTTTTGAAGTTCTTCCCCACCGGTGCCAAGGCTTGTCGCTAAACCTAAGTGGTATAAAGCAAGTCGATTTCAAAATGACATGAAAGAAAACCTTAGGAAATCAGCAGTCTCAACATGCACACAGATGTAGCAATCCAACGTTTGCTGTAGAATATTTGTAAAACGCACCGAGACGTCATCATCAACTTCATCCACTGCGGTCCCAGGATGCGCCTTGCTCACGAACAAACACACGAACAAACACACAAACAAACACACGAACAAACACACGAACAAACGCACAACGAACGCACGCATGAATGGGATTCTCTCTGTTCCCAACAACAATACAGAGACACAGGTTGTCTAGTCCATCTTGAAATTGTTGGCCACGGGAGTGGCTGGTTAGTTACCGGTGCCTGCTGGCCCTACCGCTCCTCGCCTGCCGCCTTCTCCCCTGCCACATCTTTCCCCTGCCGCCTCCTTCCCCGCCGCATCTATGCCCTGCATCCTCTATCCCCTGCCGTCTCCTTCCATGCTGCCTCCTCCCCTGCCATCCCTTGGCGCTCCTCGCCTGCCGTCTCACCCCCTGCTGCCTTTTCCCCTGCCGCCTTTAGATAGTTAAAGGCGGCCCCGCGGGGGCAAGCGTGCCAACCTGTATGGCAGCCTGTCGAGTGTGGGAACAGCTGCCACACACTGTCGCTCCTCTTGCACTGCTGTGCAGCCGCGTATCACAGTCGCCATGAAATGGCCCAAATCACCCAGGTCGTCTGGTAGTGCTGTTTCCCATGCACTCCAGACATTTACGTTTACATGGATGGCAGACTGTGCTGGCTGAATCACGGCAGCAGGGGTGATGCAGTATGGCTCCGTGGAACTTGGTCGGTGCACACACATGTTCATGTCAGGCTGGTAAGCCACCAATAGGCGACCCAGTATGGTCCGGTCTGGGTACGTCAGCAGGGGGCTGCACCACGCACACCAGCGAAGTGGTTGTGCAGCAGTTCCGTTGCATCCACATCTGAAAGCACCACAAGGTTATCCATGTATTGAAGAAGGAGCGCTGCATGTAGATCGCCCACACTGCTGCTGAGCTGGGGGGCATGTGTGAGGTCCCACTCCAGGTCGTCCGTGATGCGGTTCCGGAGCGCCGCCATTGGCTGCCGCCACACTGTTCCTCCAGGGAAAAACGGCACATCACTGCCGGGTAGTTCTGGCAGGACGGCGTGCAAGATGCCGTTGCAGCCTTGGCCAGAGGCATCAATGCGCATGCAGCCGTCGTGGATCAGCTGGTCCAGCCGGACCATGCACTGAACGGATGCAGCAGTGACGCGCCAGAATGCTCCGGTGTGCTGTCGTGGTGTAGCTATGATTGCGTCCGTAGGTTGCGGTCGTATCTCGGTGGGGCTGGGTGCACCAGCAGCTGTTGCGGCTGCAGCTCGTTTTCAAGCACGGCAGTCCCTGCAGCAGCACGCATAGCGCACCGCTTTGCTGCCACAGGAAGGCGCTGTTGGTTTGGCAACGGGGTGCCAAGGAGTGGTGGCTGGGCGAATGCTGAGTTATCAGACAGACACTGGCGTGGATGGTGCACTGCAGTATCGGACTGCTCGCTATCTGCACTGGTGCTGCTGTCCACTTGCACGTTGGCGCGCTTCTTGCGGCCTGTGCTCGTGGCAGCTGCCTGCTGCGCCTCCGCCAGGAGAGCGTCCCGGCGACGGCTGGCATCCTCGACGGGTGGTGCCTGAAAGCCATAGCATGCATCCAGTTCCTGTAGCAAGTCCGTCCATCGCAGCAGGGTTGCTTTCGCCACCTCTTCAATCGAAAGCAGCAGTGCCAGCAGATCGCAGCTCATGCGAGCACTGTCTCACAATGCCTGTGCCGCCTCCATCGAGGATCAAGCGGATGCATGGCTGCAAGCAGTCCCTCTCGGTGCACACGCTGTGCCAGGGTTTCGAACAGCGGCTGAAGGAGGCGAACGTGAGACGCCTTGGTGTAGTGTGTGGGCATGACGTATATGGATGCACACGCCAGGCCCCTGGGAGGTTGCTGCAGATCGATGAGCCACGGCTCGGATTTGAAGCTCAAGCCTTGCGTATAGTAATCTGAGATGGACAGAGGAAGGGGACAGGCTACTGAAAGAACAACAAAGCATGTTGTTGTTACAGGGTGGTTAAGCTTCACCAGTGGCCTCCTTCCCAATGCAATTCCCTGCTCTGCCCTGTGAGAGGGGTACCCTAATCCATTCACCCCATCCGACTTCAAAATGTACTCTTTGAGTTCGGCACCTCACCACCAGCATCCAACCAAATCTAGCGGATCAACGGCGCCTCAACTTAGTTCCTGGTCAGCTCGCAAGGATGATTTTATCACCTCCTACACCGCACACAAGATGGGGGGTTTCCTCCCCTCTCATCACCCGGCAGGCGGCTTTGAACCAGGACACTCCAGGAGCAGACCCCAGGCCTTAACCTCTGCCAGCATGTTGTCTGATGTCCGGATTTGTTGGGAGCAGGTCTCAACACCACGGCAAAAGAGAGGTTCTAGAGGTTTATGTATGTACAAACCTCTACATACATATCAGGTTTCTGGTGGAGTTCGTGCTGTGTTGTGAGGACGTATAACAGAGCAGGTATTGCCGCTGTGTTCTTACGTTTGAGCAGTACATTAGCCTCTGGCCCTCTGCCGTCCGCAAAGTCGCTCAGGCATCAATCTACATCGTGTCGAAGCCCTTGTTAATACGGGCTGGATTAGAACCTGCACCTTTGCAACTAGGAGACTTAGTCCCTCGCCTTAGGCCACTTGGTCACCGTACCTTCAGGCGAATATGGGTGCAATCGAGGCAGCATGTACAACTTTCCTCGATTGCCCATAAACACTTCACCTGTCTTTGGGTCACATCCTTTTGCGATTTCGATGACCTTCTGTACTACATAAGTAAGGGAGCCTATGTGCCCCGGCTCTATGTGCCCGAAGAGAGAGGTGGGGTACCGCTCCTCGCCTGCCGCTTCCCCGCTCCGCGCCTCGTCCCCTGCCGCTTCCGTCCCCTGCCGCATTCTCCCCTGCCGCTTCCTACCCTGCCGCCTCCGTCCCTGCCACCTCATCCCCTGCCACCTCCTATCCTGCTGCCTCCTCCCCTGCCGCCTCTATCCTCTGCCGCCTCATCCCTTGCCACTTTCTCCCCTGCCACCTCCTACCCTGCCACCTTCTGCCCTGCCGCCTCTATCTGCTGCTGCCTCCTCCCTTGCCGCATCCTGCCCTGCCGCCTCTAAGTCCGGCTGGTCCTGGCCTGCCACCACCTCCCCTGCCGTCTCATCCCCTGCCGCTTCCGTCCCCTGCCACCTTCGCCCCTACTGCCACTATCCCCTGCTGCTCCTCGCCTGCCGCCTTATCCTTTGCCGCTTCCGTCCCCTGCTGCTTCTATCCCCTGCCGCTTCCGTCCCCTGCCGCCTTCTCCCCTGCCGCCTCCGCCCCTGCCACTTCGTCCCCTGCTCCCCGTCCGCCTCTATCCCCTGCCACCTTCTCCCCTGCTGCCTCTATCCCCTGCCGCCTCTGTCCTCTGCAGCCTCTATCCCCTGCCGCCTCTATCCACTGCCGCCTCTATCCACTGCCTCCTCCTTCCCTGCCGCCTCTATCCCATGCCGCTCCTCCCCTGCCACCTTGTCCCCTGCCGCCTCAATGGATGGCAGACTTTGCCGTAGCCCTCAGACAGAAAGGAGAGCGAGAAGACATCTTTTTGACTTTCTTTTACTTGCTCTCACTTTCTTTGGGAACTTGCTCCCACTTTCTTCGGGAATGCATTCAAGGAAACTGACGTGTTTCCGATCTTCTTACTTGGTGTTGAGAGACACTGACTCTCACTTTCTTCGGGAACGTGTTTCTGCCTTTTTGGGCGGGGCCCCAGCGCGAAGCGCCCAGGGGGGCCCCGCCCTGTAGGATTGCCCATGGCCGTGTGGCCGTGTGGCCGTGTGTGTGTAACGGACCAAACATAATACCTCGCCCGGATGAAACGCGTTATCGGTAATATATTGCATTCTCTATTGCAAGGTATCTTGCCTGTAGCCAACAAAAATCATATGAGCACAAACAATTTTGGCTGCCTCCATTGATCGAGCACAAAGTCGCATCAACGCCTCTCGGCCTAAATTTTGCGGTGCAGAAGGAAGCGGCTGCCGAGCTTCTCCCTGCAGTTATGCAAGCATCCGGTGAGCAGACAGCACGTTGAAGGTGGAAATGTTGCACCGGTCTTTTATAGGATTAAAGCGATGAAAGGCGGGTTTGGTTCTATTCCCCTCTGTTTGACTACTTCCTTCATTTCTCTATGAAATACGCAAGCTGCTCGTTTGTACATTTACTTTGGCCAATGCTCGGGGCCTCTGGAGACTTGCAGTGTGCCGCGATGAAGCTTGCGGCAGTGGGGTGGATTGCTGTAGCCGCTGGTGCTTCGAGGATAAACGCCACAGACCGGACTTCATATGGTCAGCAACCGATGGGTGTGCCACGGAATAGTCCCGAAATCGCTCGGAAAAAATACATTTGTGGCACAAACACAAGCTCCCACCATGTTGACACTACCCATCAATTGTCACACATGCTGCCCTAGCTACCAGCCTGTACAGATGCAGAGGGGCCCCACCCTTTTTCTGGCTTCGAGGAAGCCGACACCAAACTTGTTTTACTTGCTATCCCCTGCCGCTTCTCGCCTGCCGCCCCTATCCCCTGCTGCCTCCTTCCCTGCCGCGTTCTCCCCTGCCGCCTCCATACCTCGCCACAGACTTCAACAGGCGACTTCTCAAAAATCTCATACATGTCTTAATGGGGTAGGCAACTGGCCTCAATCCTAACCACCCCTTGGTCTCAATCCGAAAGTGTAAACTCAATCCAAGGGGTCTCAATCTCAATCCCCTGTTGTGTCAATCTCAATCCCCTGTTGTGTCAATCTCAATCCCCTGTTGTGTCAATCTCAATCCCCTGTTGGTCTATCTCAATCCCCCCGTGAGGCAATCTCAATCCCCTCATAGGGCAATCTCAATCCCCTCGTGGTCAATCTCAATCCCTTTGAGGTTTCTATCCCAAACCCTCCCACGTCAAGCTGACCAGCTGAAGGTTGCCTCCAAGTCGTTTAGCGCATATTATTATCTCATAGACTGGGCAAAGTCGAGCATTTTGCAAGCAGGGTATCCATTTTAACACAGGCAGGTTGGCAGGCGGTTCATTCTACAAGCATCGTACGACACTAAAGGGCCGCATCGACTTATCTGGCCCCGTACCGTTCCGAACAACGGCGCGCACACACACACCCTACGAATGAACAACAATCATGCTGCGGGGGGGGGGGGGCGCGTTGTGACCCAACCCG